GGGGGGGGGGGGGGGCTGTCAGGTTTCACCCGGCAGGGAACCCCGAGGTTTTTCCCTGTGCACAGCTGAGCTGAGCCCTCAGAGTGTTGCTTCACTTACCGGAAGGCACGAAATGAAGAACTTTGTTGCTCTCCATGACCGAGCGAGCGGCGGTGGCGAATGCACACTTCCAGAACCCGACCCCCCCGACCCCTCCCCCAGACTCAACCCATCATGTTCTCCTGTGCAGATGTGCGTGTGTGGAGATCACCTCTCGTCTCCCGGTTCTGCCTGCTCCTCAGACACATGCAGTGACTCAGCCTCGCTTCGCCCGCCCGCCCGCTGGGTCCTAGTGCCGCCGTTTTCTTAATCAGCATCTTTCTCCCTCAGCCGCCTCACGACGACGCGCACCTCTGCAAAACATGCAAACATGCCATCTCATCAGCTCTGTCGCGGTGCTGAAACTGACCCGACTGGTTCAGAACCACCCTGTGGTCGGCCCGGTCCATCAGGAACTGTGTCTTTGTGCTTCAACCGCTCGTCAGAACTCCTGTTTGGGTTTAAGGAAGTTCTGCTCTCATTTTTACATAAAGTCAAATGAACAGAGATCATGTATTCATCCAGATGTTTACAGCTGCAGCGCCGCTCGGACGCAACTTTATCCCGAACAAAAACCTGCCCGGGTCGGCAGAACCACATTACCAGAACTACAATCTGACCTCAGAGCAGGATCCAAGTTCACACAAATAAAGAGGTTAAACCCCTCCCCACACAACAAACACACAAATTAACTTCCACTTGAGCCGAAACAAAAGACACAAACAGAACCGCTGGGAAACGTCTTCATGAGGGACAGAAAGCTCAGATGGAGGACAAACATTAACGTTCCTCAAAGGAATCATATCGCCCGCCGCCTGTCAAAGGTTTCAGACTCGGGTCATCTCGTGATGAGACGACCCGTTATGACCCGTCCACTGTTGTTCAGCAATCTGTAGCAGCGGACAAACAAAGAACTTGACTGACCTTTGATCTTGATTTGTGACCTTGAAAAGCGTACTCGACACTCCGCCTAGTGATGATGCGCAAGTGCACAAAGATTCTTTAAATTAACGTGAGCGGATCAGAAGTTATGGACAAGAGAACATTTACGAACTCTCAAAATAAACATAAAAATGTAATTCTGGTCGTTTTGATCAAACTTTGTTTAATGAAATTTCACTCAGAAGCTTCGTTAGGGACGACCCTCAGCTACTACCAACCAACACAAGGACGTTATCACCTGTACCGATCAGAAAATTACAGATAAACATGTGAAACTGCTGAACCTGGATTAAATTTATTTTGATTAATTAATTAATTAATTTATGTTAAATGTCTTTGCTGGGTGTCTTTAGCAGCTGTGATGTTGTTGGGTGGTGATTTGTTGTCTGGGGAGCTGCTGCGTTGGACTTTGTGTCCCTTTTGTCCTTGTCTCAGATGTCCTCCTGCAAAACATCTGAGCGTCCAGCTGCAGGAACAGTTCAGAGCAAACACGAACAACGTTATCTGAGAGTCAACACTCGGGGACGGAATCATGTCCTCGCTGTCCACCTGAGACAACCTGCTGTCCATTTGAGATAACTTGCTGTCCACCAGGGACAACCTGCTGTCCATTTGAGACAAATTGTTGTCCACCAGGGACAAACTGCTGTCCACCAGAGACAACCCGCTGTCCACCAGAGACAACCCACTGT